GAGGGTCTATTGATCCTATTGAGATCTATAATCCCAAAGATGTGGGGGTAGATAAAATGCTCAAGCTGATCATTTTGGAGGGATACAAGATATTATGGCAGGAAGAGGTTTCTTCCCTTTCCCCTCTTCCCCTCCTCCAGCCCTCTCAGGGTACCAAAAGGTACAGAAAAATGATGACAGTCAGACAGGAAAAAGACAATTTACAAGAACATGGAAATGCAAAACTGTTAACTGACATGTCTCAGAGCTTCCCATGTGAACCCAAGTATTTGGTTTTCAATTTTAAAGAGATCATGTTTCCTAGATTGAAAACAAATCAAGGTTTCTCTAACATATTCTAGAAAACCATTTATTTTCAATATTATATAGTAGAAAATTATTGGGCTTGTCTAAGGAACCCAAATTAATCCAGCTTTACTCAAAATGTTGTTGGCAAGTATAATAAAAATAAGAAGAAAACTTGTCAGTGAGGTGATGTTACATTAAAGCACAAGTCTCTGCTCTTGTTTAGGTAGAACGGCCCCAGAATTGGCAACTAATGATAACATGTGGGAATAAATAGAGCAAGTGTAGAAAACAGACATCAGCGTTTACCTTTTCCATCAAGCAATTTGGATTCTGGATTTAGGCATAAATCACAATAAAGATGTTAAGAACTCTCTTGTATGACATATGTTTGCAATATTTGTGTTGTATTTTAATCCATCTACTTTGCTAATAAAAATGCTAGAATGCCATATTATGGATGTGAAATGAAGGCTAAAACGACTTAAGGGTTTTTTTTACACATTTTACTTATGAGAATTATGCATTTTATTAATGACTTTTTTTTTTTCTTTTAGTTTTCACAATCCTGAAACCCAAATTGACAACTGAGAAGCTGCATTTGGTTTTCAAATGGATGACAGACATGAAAGAGGGTCTGACTAAAATAGTGGAGGAAGCATAAACATGGGATACATGCTTTTGCTTAAGTAACACTATCTCAGTTTCAAGAAGCAATGCTTTAGATACATGAAGCATATTATATATGTGTGGGCTAGACACACAGACATTTTAATTTAATCTTAGAACACTAAAATTAGGAATTGTCTCTATGCCTGTTACTGGAAAGTAGGCAGATTTTTCTTGAAAATAGGAATCGCACTTAAAATATGTAAAGGACTTCAAAGTGTGTTCTGGACATATAAATCCACCATAAACCTCAGTGATAAAATTAGTCATTCAAATAAATGAAGTCAAATGAAACTGCCACCCCTCTATGACAATGAAACTATGCCTCGTGAATAAAGACTATGTTCAGAACTCAGGAGGCAGCTCCAAAGAGTTAGCCGGACACTATGTTGCTCCCACATGCATATCATCAAAATGAGAAATCTGAATAGCTCAGCATATAAAGTTTGATAACTGTTGGCTCAAATGGCTTTTAAAAAGTTTCTAAGGAACTTCAAGATCTATACTTATCTGCCAAGTATAAGTTTTCTCTTATGCAGTCACTAGAAAGTTTATAGGAATTTCTCGTACTTAAGAAGCCAAAACACCACATAAAAAACATGTAGGAAACATTAACGGAAAGAAAACAAAAAACTTACTTTCTCTTAAAGCTGCTTCTTCCTGTAATTTAAACAGTATGAAAGGAGACAATAAGATGATTGTTTTTCTTCCAGCGCATTCATAGATCAACTCCAAAAGTAACAGAACAGGCCACCAGAGCTATCTGAGTGTCCCTCCCAACTGCAGCTTTTTCAACTTTGTAGAAGAAAATAGGAGGGTTAAATGGGTTTCCTCCAAGTCTGGTGACGTGCACATAGCTGACTCCTACTGGGCTGCAAAAGCATTCCTTGTCAATTTTTACTGAAAATTACGAGTAACAAGTTCTGTGCAGGACATCCTTTAAGGGCAATCCTGGATTCGTATGTGAAGTAGGATCTGGATAAGCTCCAAAAAGTTTAAATTACAAACCGCACATACACCCTCAAGAAATTCTCACTGCCTAGGCTAAATTAAGGGCACATCCACATTTTAAAAATTTCTAAAAGGATAATGTATTTTCTGTTTCTTTGATTAATCTGTTTTGTTGGTTCTCTTTTCTGGTGACCAACAGAACCCTTGTTTTACATCAGAAATGGCTGAACCACAGAGCTTTCTTGTTCTTACCTGAAGAGTTGGTAGCTTGAGATGAGCCTTTCGTTGTGGCCTCTATCACTGTCTGCTTGGGGAATCTGGGAACTCCAAGCCTTGAATTTGATAGAGTAACTCAAGGTTGTTACCTGCTTCCTGCACCTGCAGCGTGGACTGAGCTTTCCCTGTTTCTGCCTATGTCCCTGTGAGCTGGCAGCGATTGTTATGTCATGTCCATTTAAGCACAGGCTCACTTGGCTTTTTGAAATATTCAACTCAAAACATGGAAAGTGGCAAGAAATTTCAAGAACTGAATTTAAAGAAATGTTTGAATATTGAAGTAATCCATAACAGGAATTCTTAGTGGGTCAAACTGACTCACAAAGCAAGTGGCATTTGCTCCTAGAATCTCCATTGGAGGCCATTTCTTTGGTTTGCAAGGTGGGGTAAGAAATACTCTGCCTTAATTACATTTATTCCCAGACCAAACTTAAACTGTCCTTGTTCTAAGTGCTAAAGGAATGATGTTAATTTTCCTGAGGTCAAACTCAGGTATGTACAAAAAAAAAATTAAAAAAAAACTTGAGCTAGGGAAAGGACACAAGAGCATTCAATTAGTAATAGATTTTAATACTCATGATACTACTAACCAGGCATTATTTTTCTCCTTTCATAAATGAGGAAGTGGAGTCTGGGATATAAAAAATGACTAAGTCCCCATCTAGTTATGGGGCCATTACTCTCTTTGTTTATACTATGCTTCCTGAGAGGGTAATCTACATCCATTGATTCAACTTCTGATCTTCCTGTTGCTCCTCAAGCTATTGCAATCTATCTCCCAATTGAACCACTTCACAAAAAAAATGCTTCATTAAGCTCATAAATTATATTAACACCCCAAAGAGCACTGTTTTTCATCTTGCCAGAAATTTCTCATCTCTGGCTATGTTTACTTCTTTTTGAAATTCTCTTCCTTTGGTTTACTAAGTTATATATTTTTTAATTTCCTCCTAGCTCTTAGATACTCAGGCTCCTCCCCCTTTATTCACTTCATCATTGCCCAGAGCTTCAACCTCAGTTCAGAATGCTTCTTTGTACATCCTCCATGGGTTGTGACAATAACAAACAATTATGTATTATGACTCCCAAACTGTTATTACTCTCTGTTCTCAACTGTTACCTCTCAAAGATTCTAGGCCTGTATCTTGTTATCTATTGGACATCTTTGTTTAGAGATTCCCAGGCATCTCAAACTCAGTCCCAGATAAACCCCTTCATTTTCTCTCTACTTGTTAGTCTGATGCTGAAATCTAGCTCAATGAAAAGGCTTACTAAGGTAAAATGGTCCATGAATGGCAGTTTCAAGGAATGAAGGACACTGAGACTATGAAACTATCTTTATGTAAGAGGAATATAGTAAACTACTTTTAAAATGTTCAGAATAATAGTTAAAAATGTACATATAATATATGCATTAATTAAACTAATACTGAAAATATTAGAAGCTTCAAAATACCATATTTAATAGAAACAACAGGCAACTTTATTTTAAATAAGATTCTTAAATTCCCATGAAGATCACAGTAAACATTTAACAATTTAATTTTACTAACAAATTAGATTTTTACATTAAAAAGTCAGTCATATAATTTATTTACAAAAACAAAGCTGTTCTTATTTACTATGAAAAAATAAGAACTATATTGAAAAATGAAAAATATTTAATGCCAACAAAATAAGAATAATTTTTTTATTCGCTTCATTTTATCTTTTATTTTCAAAAATTAAGGTATTTTATTTTCACAAACTATTCTCTAGTTTGACAAAAACAAAGATTACTTTGGTATCTGCTGAAACATAAATGATAAAGTTCTTAAGCAAAGACTGAATAAAAAATTATGTTGGGTGTTCAATATTTTGAAAGCCGAATAAGCACATAAAACTAACTGGAGTTGGTGGTGAGAGGATTTTCATTTTTCTGAAAATACATTAATAAAAAAATGCCAATGGAAAAACATTTTAAAATTTACATTACATTCTTACAACTTTAATAATAGTCTGTAAATATATAATTCCTTTCACTCCGTTACTAACACTTCGTCTAGAATTAGAGTAGAGGTAGGCAGACTGATCTTTGTATTCAAACATTTTAAAACATAGTTTTAAATGCCACACAAGGAATTATATACAACAGTATTTTTTAATATTTGAGATTTAATTTACTATTATATTCAAAATAAATTCCTTTTGATATATAACAAATTGTTGCTTAGATTGAAATGATTACTCCAAGGAACTATTTTAGTTTTAATTAGCTTGATTAATTTAATTAGTTTTAACTACTAATAATCTTTAGAAAAACAAGAATACCTAGTTCTTTATAAGGGTTTTTATTTTTATTTTTTAAAAAGCTTGCAATGATGTAAATACACTTAGAAATCTCTCCACAACAAAGCATTAGTTGCTAGAGTGACTACTGATTAAAGAAATGACACTTAGAAATGCAAAATGGATTAATGACAAATGGAAAAAATACTTGCATAACACTTTGTTATCCATTGGTAATTTATGACATACCTATTAGCAGCAAATTTTACTCTTTCTTACTTTTGTTAGCATCTTGTTTTAGAATAGAACACAGGAACACATGGGTCACTTAGATGTTCTTCCACTGTAAAAGCATCCCTAAAGATTCCAACCGCATAATAGTTCACGCCTGTGGGAAGATGGAAGAACCTCTATCTGCCAGAAATAAGAGCAAGGGCTCAGCAATAAAAAAATATTTTGCAAATTTCTGTATGTTATTTTTGAAGCATTTTATATTGACTTTAAAATAAAATACACAATTTTCATTTCTGACAGCAGAGGGATATTTTTCCTTTTAAAAAAACATGACCACATTTTAAATTTTTGCCTATAATGTAAAAATATGATGTCACTAGAAATATAACACAACAAATGAGCCCCTGCCTAGAAATGAAAGACATCAGAAAATTTATTCTTCATTCAGTACACGGAAAGAAAATAAATGTATAATTTTTAGAATTAAAATGTCTAAAGAAATCTTCCATGGAGAACTCAATTTACAAAAATTCACATTTTTATAAAATTTACAATGAATACAACAGTACTGTTTTAACTAAATTGTGGGCTAATGGGAGATTGTAGATTGTGAAATAAACATTATTTATAACTCAGCAATAACTTTGGGAAAAAGGTTTACTACATGGCAAAAGTAAATTAAGTTCATTACTCTTCTGTCATAGATGATTTCCTGGATTTGAGAACAAGGTCTTTAATGGAGGAAGAAAGTTCTTGAAGCTCTTTCCGAGTAGTACTGGTGCTATCTTCTTCTTCACTGTCTAATTCATTACTCAAGGGATCCTCTTCCTGCCCAGTCTTCTTATTTTGATGAACTAAATGCTTTACAACCAATCCTTGATACTTTACCAAAAGTGTATGCTGGTCCTGTGAAAAGAGAAAGGAGAAGAAAAGTTAACAAACATGATTTAATTTTTGTGGAACAAAGTAGGCTTTGTTCAACCAATACACACTGAAGGTCTTCATCTTTACAAATCCCTGGCCATGTAAATAGAAAGCTGAATGTATCAAGGTCCTTGCTCTCAAGGAGTTTACATTTTAGGAGACAGAAAACATGAATGCAGGTTGTTTTAATAGTTGATTTGGCTTGGTTCTATCACCAAAGATATAGTCAAAGTAATATGGAAGTTCAAAGAAGCCAAAATTACTTTTAGTTGAGGAGTTTCTCAGAAGAATTTATGCATAATTTATGAAGAATTTTAAGGGGCCCTTGAAGGGCAGGTTAAACCTGAATAAGCTGAAATGAAAGACTAAACACTATTATGTCTTTTCCAAAAGCTTAATTTCCAAGTTCAGAATATTCTTTACCATGGATCAGATAGGATCCTAAAAGAGTATCCTTAAAATCAATCTCCTAATTCATTGTTTGCATTTGTGGAAACAGGAAGATGATGTTATATATCTTGGTGTTCACAATGATTCACATCGATCCATTAAAAATATTTGCAACCTAAAAGCTTTAATAGTTCCAAGTGCATTGAAAATGTAACACCTCTGGAATTTTACTCTTAAGAAGAGCGATGATCTGTGGGACACATCTTCCAGGTGCATGGAGCATGCTGTGGGTTGAGGACTGAAACAACAGGACTGATGTGAGGTGCAGGATAAGAGCAGGGTCTTCTGTGACTTTTAGCTGTTCAGCCAGTGCTTGTCGATGCTGGAACAGAATCTGCCTAAACAAAAATAAAAACACACAAATTCTCACCAATTTCAGTTCTTCCCTTCTGTATTCATTTTTAACTTCTCTAATTATCTAGTTATATAAATATTTTAAGGGACCTTTTAAATATGTTTCAGATACTCATAATTCTAAAAGGCATGAATAAACTAATGTGCTAGAAAAAGATAGGAAAAAAACAATATAGCAGGGATATTCAAAGTATGCCTTTTGAGTTGTAAGGGATCAAACAGAAGAGCACTGATTTAAACAGGTTTCCTGTAAAGAAAGTCACAAAGCTAATAAAAAGTTGCCAGGCTTGATCAACTATGGGATTAGACAATTCTGCTACATAATCAAGATGAGTCAGGGAGGAAAACTGAATTTTATTAAGACCAAAATGCTTCAAGGTATACAACAATTTAGACACAACAGTTCTCAATGCAAGATTCAGATAGTCAAATTCCAATTTCAGATATAACACATCTATGAATCCTATATAATAAAAGCCTAATATGCTAAGTGTCTGGTCATTTGATGACTGGTCAACTGTTCAACCAATCAAAGCATAATATGCTAATGATATGCTAAGGCCACTCAACCACTCCATATGACATGCAATGACCACCAGGGGGCAGATGGTAGATCGGTCGACCAGTGGCTATGACATGCACTGACCACCAGGGGGTGGATGCTCCAAACGATAGGTTAGCTTGCTGCTGGGGTCTGCCCGATTGGGACTGGGTGAGACGGGGCTGGACACGCTCTGGAGCCCTCCTGTGGCCCCTCCCTGGCCCCGACTGTGCATGAGCAGGGTCCCTTGGCCTGGCCTGCACCCTCTTGCAATCTGGGACCCTTTGGGGGATGTCAGAGAGCCAATTTTGGCCTGATCCCACAGGTCACTCCCCTCAGGAGGGTGTCAGATGCAGGGCTCATGGCTGGTGAGTGCTGCTGCGGCGACGTGAGCCTCTCCTGATTGGGACTGATTAGGCACAAGCCCACAGCAGGTGCACTGGGGCCTGAATAAGCGGGAGCGGCAGGTAGGAGCTGCAGGTGGCATTGGACTGCAGGTTTTGGCCTGATCCCCACAGGCCACCCAGAGGGACTCCACCTGTGCACTAATTTGTGCACCAGGCCTCTAGTTTATTAATAAGATAGATTACTTCAGTGTTACCTTTCCCTTTTTTTGTCTCCCCTTTTCACCATAATATCACAAGTTTCTGCTGCAGAATCCAGACAAGAAAGAAAGTCTTCTATGCTCTGAAAAGGTGTTAAATACCACAATTAACTTTATAATACAAAGTTGCCTAAAGAAAATACAGCCATTTAATGCTGTTTTATAATTTTACACCCTAAATACAATTTTTAATAAAGGTTATTTTGTCATTAAATGTGAAATTGTGATTTAGCACTTTAAAGAGGGTAAATCGCCCCTAGCTTGGTCTCGCCTTTCACCTCCCAAAAAGGTATCTGAATGCAGAATACTGGTTTCAGACTTAATTCAACATTATTTTTTATAAAAATCTACTCAAAGATCACAAATGCTAGCTCCAATATATATCTAAATAGAATCAAACTTTACTTACCTTTTCATTCAAGGAGCTATGGAGTTTTGTGAGGACTAATTTAGTTTCTTCTGATAATTTACTCAAAATTTTTTTTCTTACCTATGGGGGGAAAATTATTTCGGCATTGTGTTTTTGAAAGGTGGTAGATATAAGATCAAACAAAAAGAAAAAAAAGTACATTTATTACTATACAGAATGTTGAAAGGAATTTATGTTTGTTCTCGAATTTTTTTAGCTCAAACGAGGGATAAAAATATGCTAAAAACATTCTCAAATCAGAGAGCTAGCCAATAGTGTCAGCCAAAGAGAATAGCTAGGGCCTTACTATTCCCATCTGTCAAGTAGTATAAGAGAAAGGAGAGAAAGATACTCTCTTCAGAATTAGTGTAAATATTGAAATAAGTGGTGTCCCTAAATGAAAATGACTGCAAAGTTATGGAATCTAATATGAACATTATTAAGAAACTTGTAACTTAGCAGGAAAAAGGGATGTGACTTAACAATAACTAGGAAAAAATAAAACCACTGGTTCCCAAGCAATTCAGCAGCATTACTTTTAATAGACTGGTTATATTGCCAATCCGGAACTGTATATACACTGTACTGAACTTGACCTAAAAACCTCATCAATATTTTTTCTAAAAATTTTTCCTGTATTTTATTATCTTTTAAAACTATTTCAGATATGAGAAAATAAAATATGCTCAGATTGCAAAACAAAACACATCAAGAGTGGCAAGAAAGCCCTAGCTGGTTTGGCTCAAAGGATATTTCTATCTCTTTCTCCCTCTCCTTTCCTCTCTAAAATCAATAAAATATATTTTTAAAAAATATATTTTAAAAAAAAGAGTGGCAAGAAAATCACTAACATACTTCACTTGTAATGGCTGCAGGATCGTCAACTGCCATCATTAAATCCGAAGCTAAGAAGTTGAAAATGAGATTAGTGACATCAGTACAGACTGTCTTTAGCAAGTGCTTGGTAAGGGCAGTCTGGGTATCATCTGAAAAATAAAGGTGTTTTATTAAAATGAATGTACAAGAAAAATTATGAGAATCAATGAATAAAAAATAGCATTAAGTATACCTGTAAAGAACTTCATCCCCTTTTCAAATAATCGAATATTATTGTATAGGTTTGAAACCTCTTCTTGCAAGTCCTTGATTGTGCGCTTTCTGCCAGTTCCAGAGGCAGAAGTTGTTGAAGACATGAATACTGAACGTACCACCTCAAGGTAAATTTTATTAAGAGGTCTGTGAATTTAAGATAAATATATTCAGTTACTTAAAATGTACTGGGTTTACATAGATACAAATTTTTGATTCTATGGAAATAAGGTTTATGAAAACATCTCTATTTTTTTTTAAACAAATAAGATTAATTTGGAGAATACTTCATAAGAATCTGTCCTCCATCCCACAAATCATAACTTAAATGGTTTATTTTTCTCAATTTTTAAATACTCAAAGTTGTTGTGTTAAGAACAACAAAAGCTTCAATTCAAATTAAATTCAGAGCAGCTTTTTCAAATTTAATTTGGAGAATAGTAGACTCTAAATCTGTTCCTCATCCTCAGGGATAATACCTTAAATTCTCCAATTTACTAGTGTATTAAAAAAAACTTTCAATGTTGGATTCAGAAAAGATTATTTAAAGAATGGGAAATAATTAGTAAGTACTCCAGTTTTTTACATATAAAAATATGATTATGTAATAAATTCATGAACAAAAAAATTTCATTACAAAAGCTAAGTTTCTAAATTCAAAAAGTTAGATGCACTGGGTTCCTGGATTGTATTTATACAACCTTACACATTGGGACTACCAATTTGAAGAAAGATCATATTATTTATTAATGGTCAAGTAGGCCTCAATTTCTTTGACTTCTGTAACTATAAATTTAGCTTGATTCATTTTAAGTTAGTGTGGTCAGATTTATTCTTTTTAAAAAATGTTTTTATTGATTTTAGAGAAAGGGAAGGAGGAAGAGGAAGAGAAACATCAATATGAGAAACACTGGCTGTTTGAACCAGTGACCCTTCACAGCATGGGACAACGCTCAACCAGTGGAGCCACACCAGCCAGGGCTAAATTTATTCTCTTTGAAGGCAGTTTGTTACTTTATTTTCTCCCTAATAGTGCACTGTGTGCTTCCTGTCAAATCTAGATAGAAAATGGTCCTTTCTTCCTTTTAGATGTTACTTTTCATGCCATGGAAGAGACCAGCCAATGATTAGTGCTGGTGGTTTCCACCCAAATACGACTGTAAGATCAGTGAACAAGGACACCTCCAGGTTCTTATCTTTTATTTCCCATTGCCTTGCCCAAATGTTTATTGAACTGCCTCTGCAGGCAAAGTCTGTAATTTGGTGACTAAATGCTAAGCTTTGGGGAAAAAAAACCCACCTAAAATATATGTTTTCTATCATCTAGGCAAAAATTTAATTTAATAACTCATTTCTATCATCAAACAGAAAAAACGTGTTTTATACGTACTTTATTAAGTACTCAGCTAGTTCAGAAAGAAACTCCTCAGGCGCATCTTGTATGCGTTTTCTTAAAAAATCTTCAATCTCATCTTGGAACATAAAAGTGATCTCTGGCTTCTTCTTTCCTATAAAGAAATGAGCAATAAGGAAAATAGTAACAACAAAACAAACAAATGAGCAACATAAAGGAAACTATTTTCATTAACATATTTAATAAGGTGGTAATTAATTCATTGCCCACTACGGACTCTTATATTAATTTTTTTGTCACCAATTGGCAATGTCGAATACAATAACTTACAGAAGTAATTTTAAAAATAGGATATATAATGGCATTTCTTTTGAGTTATATTTTACTAACTTCATTTAATGACTGTTTTTTACAAGTCAGTCAGAAAATAATAAAGATAATTTCGCCTTGACCTAAAAAAGTTAGATATCCAATCAATCAAATGGATGGAAATCTTTTAGGAAAGGATAAATTCTCTTTGCTGAACAACGAATACTGGGAAGAATTTCCTTCTTTATAAAAATGAGTATTTACTAAAAGTCAAATCATCCTTATAATTTACCTAAGATCTTCAGAAAAAACTCTTTATAATCATGTAAACCACAACTGAAGTCAAATTAAGCTAAAAATTGTCTTTTTTTTGCAAAGGCATAGATTAAAAAGAAACCTCATAACTTTATACCAATAATTTATTTTTAATTCCAAAAGTAATTATTTGCCAAGGAAAATTTATATGTAGCTACTGTAATGGAAATAATTGTTAATTGTGGAAATGTCACGCTTACTCATTTACTTGGAAAAGTATAGCTGTAGATAAAGAAAGCTAATAATATTTCCCTTATTAATTAAAAAAGTGTAAAAGTGACTATTTTCAGCTAAATTAGGTACTGATTCTAAAAGTAATATCTTAGCAAAAAATAAAATAGCTCAAAAATCAATTTTTACCATTCATCAAGATATAAGTAGTGAGATCACAACTTTAAAATAGATGAATACTATCCTTTCTAAGATCTGCTATTTGTTTTTTCACACCAAATAGTATCTAAGCTTCCTGCGGGCATTTAAAGTTATTAAATTGTATTTCCTTCTAATAATCTTTCACAATGAGTTGACTCTATATATTAGCTGAGAAACTAACATATCCTGATTTCAGAGATTACAATACAACGCTTTTTCAAAAGCAATAAAAGCACTTTTTTTTTTTTAAGGGTAGAATGATTTATCTATACTTTTATGGCCCCTCTTCATAATCTACATATAAAAGGAATATCACATGCCTCATTTAATAATTACTTAAGGCCACAGATATTAGAGAAATTTTTTTCTTAAATGCACTTTCACTCCTATTCCTACTGCATCTGGAGAAAAGGGAAATCTATTTATCAATGTAAATTAAAAATCCACATAGGATAGTCTCAATAACATCTAAAATAAGGGTAGAGCTAGTAGTTTCTATGAAGATACTTTTCCTTTAATTAACATTGTTTTATGCAACAAGAACAGTAGCTATTTTTTACCTATCTTAGGATACTTTAAAGACAGATCTTAAGCAACTGTTTCTTACAAGTAGTAGCACATTAATAGCTAAAGCCATGTCACTTGATGTCTACATCTCCCAGCTCTAGCTCATACATAATGAACTCTGTGGAAGAGGTAAAATAAAAATCTCAAATTATTATCATTTCAATTTTTTTTCTCTTTTTGCTTGGAAAGAGAAGATGTGCGGTTCACAGTTTATTTTTTTTAAACAAAAACAAAGTATCTTAATTTTATTTAGAAAAATAAAGTAAGATGTCTCTTGCTAACTTAACCACATCAAACACTAACAAGCGTAGGGATAGAAAGATGGATATACTTAATTCTCCCCCTTAGGTAGAAGCAACTAACCAATTAGATTCCTACTTAAATTTGCAGAAAACCTTTTTCACAAAATAGTATAATTTGTTTTACAAAGCAGTGCAAGACCATAAAAATGACTATGCAAGCCAAAACTATGCAAAGTGTTCTTAATTAAAAATGGGAAAATTTACAATTGTTCTGTGACCTTTTAAAAATGTCTGTGAAAACATTAAAAGTTCTTACTGGTGTATAGGGAAGAGAAAAACAAAACTAATATTTATAATTTAGTACACAGTAATTTAACTCATCACAAACACTGAGAATGAAAGTTTTATTTCTCTGCAAAAAAACAAATCAAGAATAGTTTAAACATTTGCTCCCTCTCATCTGTAATCTATAATACAAAGCAAGTATCTTTTCTATGCCTTGGCAAGTTGCCCTACTCCATTTTCAACTCTACAACATTTTATCCTTTGCCCTTTCAACATTGTGAAACACCTGAGAATTCTTTTAAAGTTTTTTCCATTTTCCTCACTTACGTCAAGCGCACCTTTACCAAGTTCCACTGGCTGCATAGCTGGAGTCCCTTGAACAGTGACAATGTCAATTCTCACAATCAGCTACTTTGTCTACAACTCCATTTATTCTCAATTCATAGTTTAGTTCCAGTGTTATCACTTTTTTATTTATTGGCTGCACTTTCATCTTTGACGGCCAATTCTCTTTTGATTATCCATTTTTGAAAAATGTCACATGGATTTATCACTGGGAAACAATGAGGCAACACAACTACATGCTTTGTGCATAAAGTGAATAAGAGATGCATAGTAATCAATCGCTGACAAACTGAAATGTGATGTGATTGTCATTGATCCTGACACATCTGCTATTTATGTGCTGATCGGTGGGTTCACGAGCTAGTGGTAAAGTTAGTACTTTATGCAATTACTACTCACAGTTAATATACCTTGGCCACTGAACCATGTTGATTTTTCATACCTTGAATCATGCTGTTGGGAGACTAATGTCATTTTACTAAACTGTGGTATCTGAAATTTATGACCACTGACATTGTGCATAGCAAGGACTTCTTGTATAAGCATATACACCTATCTGTATGCACCTTAAGAAAATGTTAAAAGAAGCATGCATATACAAAGAAAGAGTAAAACAATGCTACAAACCAGTGTGAGATGGCTCATCGTCACTATCATCATCTTTTCTTCCTTTCTTCTTGGTTTTTTTAATTTTGTACTCTCTGGCATTGCTCCCACCTCCTCCTCTCACACTTCCACTGCCCTCTGGTGGAAAATGACATTAGTTAGTATTCTCTAACTTAATTACCATTTTAAGAAAATAATGACATTATGTTGTCATACTTTACAGCAGAAAAATAAAAGTCAAATAATTAAACTTTTAGCCACTTTTTAACATGCAAGTACCTTTATTAAAAAAAGTTTTATAAATTCAATAAAGAATAAAAATTTCTTGAATTTGAGCTGTGCTCTAAATGTAGTCTCTTCCTCCTTCTCTAATAACACTTCTGTCATTAGAGAGCTTTTTCTTTGCCAAATCCGTTCATTTACCTCCTTTCTTATCATCCCCAAAAGAAATGTGCCCTCATTTTGACCTTCTGTTACCACAGTCTCATGAATATCCCCTATTCCAGTACTTCACAAATTTAATTACACTTGGTTTTGTCTTCTTAGTTGAAAAATCATTACCCATGTTTACAGGAGACATTCTGATTCTTCCACAATCCAACAAGATAAACTTCTTGAAGTATCTTTCACTAATATTTGTATCTTGGGGTTAAAGCAATATATCACATATAACTACTCAATAAGGCAGTTGGAAAACGTAGGTTTACAATTGTGAGTACACAAACTGCAGTGTACTCTTTCTTATATTATTATTTATCATTGTATTATTTGTTTATAGTATATCTGTAAACCTACTTTTGCCCACTCCTATATTTATAGAGCACCTAAAAATGTGGACCATTAATATTAAACTGGTTTAGTAGAAAAATATAGATTCCAATCACCTACTGGTTAAATGAAGACTAAAAAAACACACAAATTATGAAACAAACTAAAACACTATAAATAAAAGTAAAAAATGTTATTGAGGTGTTTCTCTATTAGATATTTACACTTAAAATATGTATTCACGAAATATAATACTTATATAATAGTGAGATTGAAACACTGAAAGCTACTGAAAATATATTTCTTCATAAAAATTCATTTTTCAATAAAATTAAGTAATTTATATAAATATTTTTTTAATTCTAAGTATAATTACCATAAATTTCATCATATCAGATACTTCTAAGTTGTAATTTATTTTTCCTTACTTTTATGATAGAAAACTACAATTTTTTAAAAAACACCAGTCTAAAGTGAATGTACTTTTTATTGCATCGGTAATAAGTTTTTTATGGGGAAGACATTCATAGCTGGCATTATTCCATGAATTGTAATTCAACTATTATAATAGTACTACCAGAGAGAAGACACCAAATGACTCTGAGTTTTTAGAAGAAAATAAAATAGACTACTTATATTGACATAGTGCAACCAATTAATTAAGGTAAATTTATAACTATATCTTCAAATAATATGATAAAATATCCATGGCTGTGAATACTACTATGATTTATTGGAGCAATTTACTATATAGTTTTCCTAGAAGAACAGAGAAAAATTTCAAAATATCATTATTGAAAGACTGTAGAAAAAGGCTTTTGAAGCGGAAAGAAAACGACCTCAAAGAAATACGAGTGAATTTCCACAGCAAATAAAAGTTGTTCCTACTATAAAAATTATAGAAAATACACGTTAGTTTCCAAAAGCAAGTTACTAGTATAGCAGTGCTACCTATTATAATTCCCAGTTACTCTAAATTTTTTTTAAAAAATCTAAAAAAGTAGTATATCCTTGGAAAATTCATTCATTCAATAAATATTTACAGAACACCTAAAATATGTCAAGGAAAAAACAGTACTAGGGGGAAAAACAAAAAAATGAGATGGACTAGTTTCCCAAACAATAAAACATATCACAATAAAACATCACAATAATAAAAGTGAAGGGGGGAAAATGGCAAGAGAATAGGCTAGAGAGTGACTGTGTCCACTATTTTGAGTGATTAGGGAGGCCTCTCTCAGGAACTGACATTTAATGTTTGATCTCTAAATGACAGAAAGGAACCTGTTACTTAAAATTCAGGAGAGAACATTCCAGATAGAAAGAATAGCTAGTGCCTTGAGGTAGACATGAACTTGCCAACTCAGAATAAAAAGAAAGGCTACTGGGCTGGAACATAAAAAATGAGGGGAGAACAGGAGATGGGCCAAGCATACAATAATTTAGCTCTCACAAATAAAACATAGAATAAGTAATCACCAATATTTCCATTTTTATAATCAATATTTAATTCATTAGCAAAGGACTTGGTTAGTATTAGCAATCAAAGGTGAATTGAACAAATAAAAGGCATTTCAATGTGCCTAGCAAATGCAGTTTACTGCAATAAATAAAAAACTCATCTTTGAATCTCTGTTAATAATTTATTACCTGTTGCTTTCCTTCTTCGTTCATCTTTTTTATCCTTTTTACTTGTATTACTACTTTCTAAAATGGAGACTTGTTTCAGATCTTCTTCAGTGATTAAATGAACCGGATTATTTTTCATTTCCTAAAATAAAACATGCTTTTTTTGGTAGGCAAAAACATGTAGCATTACAAAAAGCACAAAACAAAAGTTGTTTATATACTCATAATTATTCTTGTTTGGTTTCATTTCTATGGACTATTGAGATCTGACAGTTGCCACTAAGACTGTTTCTCTTTGCCCCAAATCAGTCTCTTCGCTATTCTTGGATTTTTGTATCTATTACCAGGTAACAAGAAATCCTATCTGTTCTCTGAACAACTGATCACACAGCATCAAATACAATCTTCTTCAGCTGTTATTGGCTGTTTACCACTGCTTAACAAATGACTCTTACTCCCTTTCTTTTTGAGACTCGCAAGTCCAATGTCATACTTGGAGACGTAGGATTACTAGAAAGATTTAAAAAATCCCCCCCTACCCCACTCCCCCATAACGAATGAGCATATATAAATGAATTGCACACTTGGCATATAAACTCCTCCTGGACTCATTCTTGATTTCTGCTTTTAAAAATATTATGTTAAGAACAATGAACTATTCCAATGAACTGATTCTGTATTATGGAAAAGGACTGTAAATCTGTAGTGACAAAAGTCCATTTTCATGTTAAAAATATTTCCCTTTTGGTTTTCAAAAGAAAAATGTCTAGATGCTGACAGTTCAAAATGATAGAATCACCATTTTTTTCTGAATTTGTGTTTAGAATCAGGAGCACAAGGAAAAAATAGTGATGACCACATTAAGTTTTTATTTTAGCAAAAGGTCACAAATAAAAATAATATAGGCATTTAGTAGCTGGTAGCTAACATGTAGCAAACATTTTATATAGCATCCTTCCTTTATTTACATTTATCCTTTTTTTTTTAATTCTCACCCAAGGTTATGTTTTTATTGATTTGAGAGAGAGAGAGAGAAACATTGATGTGAGAGAAGCATTCATCAGTTGCCTCCTGCACACGCCCTAACCGGGGACTGAACTCCTAACCTAGGTATGCACCCTGACTGGGAATTGAACCCACAACCTTCTGATGCATGGGATACTCCAACTGATTCAGCCACCCAGCATTTATCCTTTTGAGAGTAGGTAGGTATCACCATCCTTTCTTTGAAGATAAGAAAGAACTGGAGGTCTATTGTTCCAAAGTCAAGGAGAGAATAAGTAAGTTGAGAACGGAACTCAGGTTTACTGATATCAATCCTGTGTTATTTTTATTCCTCTCTAATGCTTAGCAGGCCAAATGTAGAAAATTATCTCACTTTTTAGATTATTAAAGAGTTTAAAAGGAATACAGATAAATACAAATTATTTAAATATTTAATAAGCTCTTATAAATTTATTAACAGTCTAAGATAAATGGACTTTTTCTACCTATTTGTGAGTAGGTTTTGTAAGTAGACTAGGGGCCCGGTGCACGAAATTTGTGCACTTGGGGGGGGGGGGCATGTGGTGTCCCTCAGCCCAGCCTGGCCGCTCTCACATACTGGGAGCCCTCAGGGAATGTCCTACTGACGGCTTAGGCCTACTCCCCTGCTCCCATTGGGGAGCGGGCCTAAGCCGCACTCTGGCCTCCCTTTGTGGGAGGCAACCAGGCTGATCAGGGAAAGGCGCCAGCCCCATCACTCCGCTGCTGCAGCCACTGCCTGCCAGCCCCATCACTCCGCTGATGCAGCCACTGCCAGTCACCACAGCCACCAAGTTGTTTTCATCAACACGGACTCCAGTCCCTTCACCATGAAAAAATGACAACTTTCTTTAGGCATTTTCAAGATGTGTCTTTCATAGGATATGACATTTCTTTCTATCTTTTTTTTAATCCTCACCTGGGGATATGTTTCCATTGATTTTTAGAGAATGTGGAAGAGAAAGAGAAAGACAGAGAGAAACATCAAAGTGAGAGGAACACTTTGATTGGTTGCCTCCTGCATGAGCCCTGACCTGGGCCCCAGCCAGGGAGGAGCCTGCAACCTAAATACATGCCCTTGGTCAGAATTGAACCCAGACCCTGCGGTCAGCAGGCCGAGGCATTATCCACTGAGCCAAACCAGCTAGGGCAGGATATGACATTTCTTAGCCCTCTAGCAGTGGACCTTCGTTTTTTCTCCAGGAGTGTGGTGGGAAAATCCTAGATCACCTTTTGGGATTCTTATTACCCAAGTTACTAAGAATATTACCAGTGGCATACAGGGAGCTTAGACAATGAGCAGTCAGGAAAGGTGTTTCCTCTGTAGTTCACTCCGATCCCAGCTCTGCCCCTGCCCAGGCCTGTAGCCTCTGGCCGAGGCTGCAGGGGACCCCCAGAACCCTGTGATCCCTGGCTCCGCCCTTGCCCCCCCTTTCCCCCACCACCTGCCTGGCCAACAGGCCTGGACAGTTTCGTGGTGGGGCTGAGGGGCCTGGACTCCGCCATCTTGTGGCTATGGGCGCAGCCATCTTTGTGATGGAGTGACAACTAATTTGCATATTACTCTTTTATTAGATAGGATAGGATGGTGCTGCTAACTAGAAACATGAATTGAATATCCTTAAAACAGCCTTGGCATGACCTCTACTTCTAAACACTTTGACAGCAATTGCTCTGAGGAACTAATCAGTTAACTTACCCAGTTTGTGCACCCCAAATAGGTAAAATTAATGAGGCTCTAACAAATTTAGTAAATATAACTGTGTAATAATAGATTAAAAACACTGTATATTTATGGATTCTAATGTTGGAACAATACCCTCATATAATAATTGTGAAATGTATAATTTCATTTATATGATTTTAATTAATAAAACCAGCTCCCTAAGTTCTAATTTCTATGTCCTGATGGGAATAAAGGAGAAAAAACAAATCCAGGAGAGGAAATAGAAAGAAATGATGCAATAAGAGGAAATGATGTATAAAACAGTGCTCCTTTTTGGGGTACAGCTTACCCTATTTTTTTAAAAGATAACCAGATGATTCTTACGTGAAATACTATTAAGACTACTAGGTGAAAGGAAACCTGGCATACCTTTTCAGCTTTTTGGTGCATCAGTTCATTGAAGAGTTCTGTACAGTCATTTATAAATTTTTCACTGACTGCAACAGTGTCACTAAAGACTACAGCTGAAGGCTGTTTGCTGAATTTTCTCATCACTTGTTGAAGCAACATTGCAGCATCTTCAACTGATAAAGAACTGGGTAGCAGAGGCTGGAATTACACACAAAATGAACACTGTATAAATGTAATATAATACAGATAAACCATTTGTTTTATATGTGCTCTCCCTAGATCTCATTAAGTGCAATGGCTTTTGGAGCCATCTATATGCTGATAACCTCCCAAATTACATTCCTGACCCTCTGAGTTCTGGAACTGGATATCCTACCACTACCCTAACCCTCCCATTCCTATGCCTAAAAGGCATCGCTAATTTCACATGTCCCAGACTCCCAGCTCCATCTACCCCTCCCCACTGCTCCCCCATCCTAATGAATGGCACCATCCTCCACTCAGTTGATCAGGTCCCAAACCTTCAGGTCACACTCAGTTCCTCTCATAAACCTACAAACAACCCTCTATCAAGTCTTGATAATTTTACCTCCAAAATTTATTTCTTTTTAGCTCTTTTTAGTATCTGAAAAGATCATTTTCATTAACTATTTACCCCCAATGAAAATAGGAAACTGAGAGCAGGAAACTTATCTGAATACCACATTCCCAGCAAGTAAAATGGTGCCTGGCACACAGAAGGCACTTAATAAAATTCGTTCAATAAAGAAATACTTTTATCTAAAATCTCTGGGAGCTCATGTATCTAAAACAAGGAATTTTCTGCTGTATAATGGATTGGCCTTTTGTTTCATTCTTTACACCCACACTCACCTTCTTGGCATAATAAAGGCAAGTCAATACTGAAAACTTAAGTAAAAGACTACCAGTGCTAAAGCAGCTTGTGTTAACATATTAGCAGAGATTAACGGATTAGGGATAAACAAAAGCAATGACATGATTCCTGATGCCAGTGAAGATGTAAATGCTCAGATAAGAGTGTGAGAAGTCTTATTAGTTTCTGTATGGCAGGACTTATATGAGGACTATATTGTTTGTTTGAGATTTATAGAATTCTGGATGTTGACTATCCATATAAAAATGTTACCTTACTTCAAAAGCTAGAAAATCTTTAAGCATAAAATAAGTCAGATTATTTTTATTGAAACAATGACTGTTATAATTTGGCTCTAAAGCCAAGACCTTTATGTATCCTAATCCTTAAAATGGCCATATACACTAGTGAAATATCAGTGTCATTGGTTTAAAGAAAAGTTGAGAAGAAAAAAACATACTGCAATATCAACCCATGTTCCAGAGCTGATGGCTTCCTCTACCGATGCTTCCACCTGATCCACAAGTCCTTGACCAACACAAGCTGCTTTCAAAAATAAGAGTTGTGCAGTCTTGTATCTTTTCCTTATGTAGCTCACAGCATCTGGGATTCCCAGTCTGGACAAAGCATCGAATTCTAGAAATACATCCCAAAGTTGGAACAGAACTGTCAATCTTCACACCTTTCAGAAATCTTAGAAAAAGTTAACTTCTACCAAACCCTATTCTTTGTGAATGCACTGTGTTCTTATATCTTTTTTGTAAAGAATAAAGCTCAAATATGTACCACAGCCTATTTCCTGCTTATGTCACTTTCCCAAATTTTTATTACTAAACATATCTGTAGAAAAATGAGTTCAAGTACTTCCCCAATTCCAGCTGCTTTACTCCCTCTCTTCAACTGAGGGGGTAAAAGGGAAACTTGAGAACTATAGAGAAATTAAAGTAGAAAAGGTGGGTAAAGGAAAATGTAATGATTTAAGTAAGGAAACAAATACTGGAATTTCTTTTGCTTATTATAGTTAAATAAAGGAGTGGAATATATTTTTCAAATGTTTCATTAGACAAATTAGGACAGAGTAATTCTCCAGTCTAATTTAAACTAGTAGGAGAATTAGCATATAAAACAAAAGTAAAAAATGAAGACTTAAACCATTAAGGTTATTGAAAGTATCTACCATCCTTTCTCCTTCCCCAAGTAATCATGTTTAAGAAAACTAATTATAACAAAGTTCTAATCCAAGTCCGTGGTTGAAGAAACTGGGAAGTATATTACAGAAAGTCAAGAAAACATAAGCTAAACCCTATTTCTAGAATGCATTTAAGTGTTTGAAAACTAATGACTTACATACAAGTTTATTACTGAGAAAGAAACTGGTATCTTATGTGGTTTGACTTAGTTATAAAATTAAAGTAAGTCATATATATATATATATATATATATATATGTTGTTGTTAATTGCTTTAATGACTAAATCCAATCAATCTACTTTATCAAAATGACATAACCTCAGAAACCAAATTTAGAATAACGTCTATGTTTCTGAAATATTAAAAAAACTGTTAATTGCTTTAATGACTAAATCCAATCAATCTACTTTATCAAAATGACATAACCTCAGAAACCAAATTTAGAATAACGTCTATGTTTCTGAAATATTAAAAAACTAATAAAAAGGAACATTATAAAGTTAATAGCCAATGAAAATATTTCTAATATTTTCAGGTATAATAAACAGAAAAACTGGGCAACTTCATACAATATAATTCCTTTTTATGTATTAAAAAATATTTGAAGGTTGGTAATAAGAAGTGCCAGCTTTTGGTTTTTCTCTAACAGTTCAATACTATAGAATTAAACTCAGTTTCTAGGACCCACAAAAACTTGAAGTGTGGCTACTGTCACACTCAAAGAGAACCGTTATAATTTGCTGGTCAACTCCTAGGGCTAATACAAAAGTTCTAAGAATGTGGATAGTATTAGAAAGAAGTTTCAGTTTCAAAGAAGAAAAAAAAAGTTACCTAGATAGCCATTCTGCCTGAAAAAGGAATCCACCCAAGTACTCTGTGTTCTGGAATAAATGTCAGGTAGAAACACTGCCTTATCTTGTCTCCCACCAACCACAGTGCCTCGTAAGCGTCCACTATTAACAAGTTCTTCAAGGACAGCTTAAAACAAAACAAAACAAGTAGAAATAAATGAGAGCAGGTATAAATCTCAGTTAAACCCCAAAACTTTACTATTTTACAATTTAGTTGTTCTTACCCTTTAAAAACGCAATTTAAAGTTTAAATTGACTAAATGAAGACATTATGTTTCAGACAAAATTTTCCTGACATTTATGAGAATACTCAGGTCATTAATTCAGAAAATTTTGCAACTTGGTAAAGATGCAGAACTTGTAAAAACTAGTTAATAACACTAAGTTTTTAGTTTGAATAATTTTTTGGGGGAAAAACATGCCATTATTTAATCTCATGATTTGCTTAAAAGAAGATGACTAAATACTTTGAGAATAGATGTTACCAAATTCAATTTTCTCATATTTAGAAAAATCAAGATACTTAGATCATATTAGAAACAACAGTTTAAAATTAAGCCAAAAACATTTTTATAAGTGCCCTGGCCAGTGTGGCTCAGTTGGTTGAGGTGTTGTCCTCTCTCTCAAGGGGTTGCTGGTTGGATTCCCAGGTGGATGTATCAGCTCCCTGGTGTGGGTGCGGGAGAAACCAATTTGTGTTTTGCTATCACATCGATGTTTCTCTCCCTCTCTCTCTCTCCCTTCCTCTCTCTTAAAAAAAAAAATATATGTTATTACATTTTCACTGTTTAAACTGAAGCAACACATTTTAACAATATCTATAAAGAGAAGTATAATGCCATGGTTAAGAGGATGGATCCGGATGTAGACAGTTTAAGTCCAAAACTCAATTCTGACACCCACTAGCTGACAAAAACTGGGCAAGTCATTTTACTGTTTTCATTTTCTCATCTGTGAAATGGAGATAATAATAATACCTATTTCATAGGGTGGTTGTATTCACATAAAATGCTTGGATCCATAATTAGTATATTAAGCACTCTTTACATGTTAACTATATATAATTGCCCCACCCCCACCACAATCATCAATATCAAAAGACTGACGCCAGTCTGAGAAGTGGGTAGTGCTGTAACTAATACCAAATTTATAGTTTTTACTTAAATAATAACATTTAACTAGACAAAATATAAAAATTCCCTAAAAAAAGCAGATATGAAGGAATTATTTCTAAGTGAATCAGCAAGCACATTCAAAAGATGCCTTGCATAAAGGTTTATGAAAATTAACCTTTAACAGAAATAAACATCAGTTTACATATGAATTCAGAATTTTAAACTGAATAAACTAGAATTCATCAGAAAAGTCTAGACTTCTCAACAGACTGCAGCACATAACTTTAAGTGCCAAATTCAGACCAAAGTTATCTAGCTGCCAAGAATTACTTCAAGATCTGTGTGTTATAATGAAACTCCACCAACCCCCATTTATGTAGATTCCAAAGTATGTCATTTTAACTTTAAATATTTAAAAATTTAAATTTAACTCCATATTCAGAAAAATATAGGGAATAAAAATTAATTGCTGGTACTATACTTGATTTCCCATTTTCAGTTTAATTCTTATATTTTCACAGATATCTGACTCAAAAGATCAAGCCATTGCTTTTTAAAATTATTCCAGCAGAGCTTTAAACTCTCAAACCCTCAAAAAGCTTCATAAACACACACAAAATAGATAATGAACCACGATGATTTTGGAAATATTCCTAGTCTGTTTGAATGCTAAGAATGTATTACCACTATAAAATCATTGTAAAATTATTTAGACAAACACTATTTACTTCTGTATTAGGAAATGTAGCAAAAATCTGTAAGAAACAAAGTAAAAATTATTCTTAATACTACAATTCTAAATCTGCCTATATATGTATATGTATAACAGAGCACACATACACAGATTTTTTTTTTATTTTTTATCCCACTCTCCTGGTGGTAGCCAACAATAAATGTTTTGTGGGTATAACAGACACGTACGTGAAAACTGGTATAAAAAATTTTTTCAACCAGATATATTTTAGTTACATAAGTTTTAAAATTAAAAGAGGTAAAATTATAATTAGTAAGTTTTATATTAAGTCTATTCAGCAGCTAATTAAGTGACAAAATTTAAACCAAACTCACAGTAAAGAAGCTGCTCCTGAAATCCATATTTTGATATCAAAGAATTCACTGCTGTCGGCCTTTATGGGAAGAAAAAAAAGCCTTACTTAATATACATACTTATAAATTAAAAATAACTAGGATAGCTTATGAAAAACATCAATTAATTTAAAATAAATGAGGGCAAAAACTGCATCAAGTCGTACACCCTTAATAAGAATTATACGACTGAAATACCAGGGGAATGGATCTGCCGCCCCAGTCCAGGATCAATTTACTTTCCCACCAAAATTCTTACCTCAGATTTAGTGATACTTAACTATCTGCCCTGCTTTTATTGTGTTTGATGCAAACCAAGATTAAAGAAATATTCAGACTTTACACATGCTTACCGGGTAATAGCACTGAACAGTCCACGGATGCGTGCTTTATGTCGAGCTACAAAAGCTTCAGTAAATATTACTCCTCTGTTATCAAGATCAATGTGTCCATTAATAATTTTACCTAGTCGCTGAGTTAGTGCCTGGGGGTAAAAATGCAAATTTTTATAAATTTGAGAGAAAAAAATCACACATACACATTTTTATAGTCTTACTAAAGTCAGGCTGCATGCTGATGTTGTATTAATCATATAACTGAGAAATTCCAACAAGCATAAAGAGATATGTAAGTCAAAGTCAAGATTTAGGATCTAGGAAACGTCATAATCTCATGGCAGAGCCAAGAACTGAATGAGTCAAATAGCTGATATGTTGAAAGGCTTAGTTACCTGCTAATAAGGGCTATTTCTAATGTACAATAAAAATGATTAACCACTTTTTCTAGATATAGGCAATGTGAAACATACAGACAGCCAAGACAAATACACGAGTCTTGGAGAAGACCCTCTCTGCAGCTTCTAACACTAACAGAGAAAGAGAGAGAGAAATATTACTACAAGAATTTACAAGCTAGGGAAACATAAGACCTGAAAAATTATCTTCTTTGACACAAGTATTAACAACTTATCTGCGCCCAGAAATCTCCACTGGCAGAAAACCTGATTTCTTAGTAACCTCCAGAGAGTATTTTTCCACAGCTACCATATGACTGGAGTCTGGAAATAAGTCTGGATATATTTCACATCCCAAGATAAGTTAAATCTACTTAAGTCAGCCTAGCTGGTACTTTTATGGTATAGAAAAATGCTTTTCAATTAACTTCTTAACGAGCTTTCATAATACTGTTTGTGATATTCAGAAAAATTGGAACTGAAAAACACTGATTCTTTGTTTATGTTTCTAAAGACACATTTTACTATTAAGAAAAAAATACCTGTGTGAGAAAGTTCCCAGGAAGATCATAGGTTTTACACAGCTCTGATATGGTTATCTGACCACTTTCTTGCAATTTATCATTTACCTCTTCTGCTAACCGATCCAAATAGTTTCTAAACAATAAAAACAAACAAGTAAAACAACAATTAGAAATAATGAAATGGTTTTCCTCTATATTTTATGTTTAATTTCTGTTGCAATAATGTGTGCACCAAATTGATGAAGTATGTTTAGGGAAACATTCATTACTCACATTTGGAAAATCTTTTTTTTTCTCTTGTCAATATAGCTAAATATAAGGTTAATCAAATGATAAATGCTGGAATTTCTTTAAACAACTGAAATTCTGCAGTCATTTTTATTAATATTTTTGGAACAAATTTGCTTTACACATAGGAAGACTGTAAAAATTATGTTTTGTGTTGCTTTAATAGGAAAAAATTAAGGTTTATATTATTTCCAAGTACTCCACACTATTAAGCACTTACTTTTTAAGTACAATGATCCTTATAGTGAAAAATAGCATCATGAGTTCTAAACAAAATACTGAATTAGCCACAACTGTTCTAAATTTAAATATTAACACTATTAAGACACACACACACACACACACACACAAAACAGAGTGCTCTTAAATGTTGTACTTACTCATCTATCAGCTGTCCCAACACTAGCTGAACATGCTTTTCTGATTTAACAATGTCACCAATTCTATTTTCAATATGAGTCAGATCCACATTAATTACCTGGAAAATAAATATAAACTCTATTAGTGATAAGTTCATATTGTTTCTTAAGTTCAAAATTATATATTTAGAACTACCCATTTAAAAACTTAGTTTTAGCTGGATTTTAAATTTGAAATATTGTAAAAGTCTTAGTCAAATAAAAAAGCAGAGGCTTAATGCTTATTTATTTTCATTTCTGAACAATTACACTTATACTTACTAGGAAAGTCTGTGTTAAAAAGTTACATTTTCATATAATAGGCACCATTTCAACAAGATTCACCAGCTTTTGGTATACAGTATATTTCGGTGGTGACTTGTGCACTTATATTTTCTAAAAACATCTTCTATTTTTTTATATACCAAGTGTACTGGTTAATAATGTGGATTTTGTAATCAAAGAAAACACGATAATTTTAAGAAAAACATCAAAAGTGCTTTATTCAAAGTAATGTCCATCGCTAGCTACACATTTTCCCATCTTTCAGGTAATTTGTGGATACCGTCCCACAAAACTTTTCTTGTTTTGAGGCAAACCATGCAGAGACCCAATTTTCCACTTCGTACATTTTGAAGTGCTGCTCAGAAAGTGTGTGGCCCATTGATCAGAACAAGTGGTAATCTGAAGGAGCAAGGTCTGGTGAATACGGCAGGTGCGTTAATACTTCCCAGGCAAGATCTTTTAATGTGTCTTTAACTGGTTTTGAAGAGTGTGATGATGTGTTATCATGAAGCAAAATTACTTTACCATGTCTTTTGGCCCATTCTGGTCATTTTATGATCAAAGCATGGTTCAAATTGATTATTTGTTGTCGGTAGTGCTCAGTA